CCAGCAGGCTTTGGCCCAGAGCCTCCAGGAACATGTATGATATAAAGTGTTTTTTTAAATATAAATATATGTTTTCTAAAGTCTTAGCTAAGGAAAACCTGGAATTGAAGGAAAACTGTCACAGTCGTCAAATGTTGTAAAAACTTCACTTTGACTTGACAACATTACAGGAAGCCCAGGAGATGAGGGAAGATGATGACCTGAAGAGGGCGACAGAGCTCAGTCTCCAAGGTGTGGACCACAGTTGTTTTCTTGTTCCGTAGTAAACTTCTTTCAAACAAATGTAACATTTTTAATATAAATATAATTCAGTGATAAACTGAGGGAACCTGAGGCTGCTGTTGTTTAAACAAACACTCTTCATTGTTTAGTTGTCACAGACCATGAAGCTTTTCAGCTGGTGTCAACAAAAGCTCCTGGTGGTTTGTGTGTCATCATTTTCACTACGTGTTTCTTCTTCTTCTTCATCCCACAGAGTTGTACAACTCTCTGCCTGAACTGCTGTGCTCAGACGATGATTCTGGGAACGAGGACGTACTGGACATGGAGTACACAGAAACAGAAGCTGAAAACCTGAAAAGAAATGCTGAGGTAAACACCACCTGCCCTGAGGCTCCACAAACAGTTGTTCATAAATCAAACTTAACTGGAGTTCTCATAGCCACACTTTTAGAAATGATTGACCTTGAAATCCTCTCATGTCCAGAGTGGAGACCTGCCCAACTCCTTCAGACTCATCAGTGTCGTCAGTCACATCGGGAGCAGCTCCTCCTCTGGTTAGTGTAGTGTTTTTTGTGTGTTAGTGTAGTGTCATGGTATGACCAGTGATTTTTTGAGATAACCCAGTCTACTCCATATGCCTTGATGCGCGTTTCTTTATTTTATTTTAACCGAATTGTCAAGCTTTTTTTTATCTATTATTTATTTATCGGATTCACGGTGCATCGTTACATCCTTAATTTTTACAATGTGCTTGGTTTAGAGTTTGTAGTTAGAGTTCAGTTTTAGTGTCTGTTTGTTAGTGGGGAGGTGGGGGAGTTGGGGGTGAGTTCATTCAAAAGTGAGGTCAGTGTTAAAGTATGGTATGGTTTAGATTAAGTAATCGCCCTGTTCACTGTGCAGATGTTTGTAGAGAAGACAGTAAACATTTGAATTTCAACACTAACCCCATGTCATTCCTCCTCCACCTCCTCAGGCCACTACATCAGTGACGTCTACGACATGAAGAAACAGTCCTGGCTGACATACAACGACTTGGACGTGTCCCGTACGCAGGAAGCAGCCGTCCAACGAGACCGCGATCGTAGCGGATACATTTTCTTCTACGTTCACAAGTGAGTTGGCTCAAGTTAGGAATTTAACCACCATAACAAACATGGCAAGAACATAGCTACCTTTGCTAATATGAAGGATCGTCAGACAGACAGATGATGCACAATGAAGTTCTACTACATGGTACTTCAGTTTCAAAACTACAAACCAACACTCTAAGAGTAAACGATTGACAGTTGTTGAACAAAAAGTGACTCATCAAACCCAATGGAAATTCCGTGCCTACCACTAGGGGGAGGCCAAGTACCACTGATGGCACATGTACTATAGTTACAGAATTAGGGATGTCTGATATTAACTTTTTCCCAATATATAATATAATGATGATGTGTTGTAAGACAGGAGGGGGTGTGATGTGTCCCTGTGATAACGTTTGACTCTTTGTGTATCTGCAGGAATGTGTTTGAACAGCTGTCAGAGATGGAGAGAGCCGGAGGCAGCAGCACTTCAGAAGCAGGAAGGAATGTGCTGCAGCCACTTTGAGCACTCGGTCTGTAGATCGAAGTCCAACCAAAAACCCTTTACTGAACTCTGTAGGGGCGGTCCGCTGTGCCGAGGAACCTTTTCAGTACTACTGACCGTTTTCTTTTCATGTCTTGTTTTTTTCTTTTCTTTTTTTTTTGCTCTGCCACACTTGTCTGGTCAGATTTGCTCCAACATGTGCTCATTTTGCGTGGACCCTCCAGGAGAACGGAAGTGAAACGTTCCGTGGATCATATTGTGCCTCCATGTTAATGGAGCTGGATTTGTTTTATATTTTATCAAATAATTGATTTGTAAAGTTTCTTGATGAACTTGATGCCAATTTTTTCAGACTCTTGAATCTCCACCACTGAACAACAACAACAACATGAACAACAACAGCTGCTGCTGCTTGTTCTCAGTGGATTTTGACCCTTTATAGCTACTAAAAACATATTCTATGTTGGAGTATAAGCTAATCTAGAGGTAACTGGTTTGTATTTAGCGGGATCTTTTGGTGCAATATTTCTGTCGTGATGAGTCGTGGCCAGTTGAATCAGCTTTCTGTCCAGGTGTGGATGTGTGGGGTTAATTTTTTTTTTTTTGGTTTCTGTGTTTTATTTGTAACAATGTTTGTGTGACTGTCTCCATTTATTCAACACAGTTGTGTAGCTCAGTTACAGGTTTTCTCCACTGAGCTGTTCTCAGTTGAACCCACATCAACCTTTTTGTGGGGGTTTCTGACCTTGTGCCTCACAAGAGATCGTGTTCAAGCTTTACGTTGAAAGTTGCACAAACCTGTTGCTTTTTTTTTTTTTTAAATGTCTGTCTGAAGTCAATGTATAAATCAGATTGTCTATTTATTTCCAGCCGTAGGTGAAATGGTCACGAAGAGCCTATCAGATCGCACCGGGCAAATCAAACCTTAAAAAAAAAAAAAAAAAGTTCTCTCTGTAGTTTCAGGAAGTGTCCACTGTGGGTTGACTTCGTCCACCTACAAACCATTTATTTACACACCTGGCTTGTAAGGTCACACGTTAAAACAGGAATTGTGATTTTCTTTCCTGTGGTGCATCCCCGCCTCTCCTCCCTCCCCCTCCCGTCCCACCGCAGTGTTACGAGGATGAGATCTATTTGTAAATAAGAACGTACAGCTTTTTTTTTCTACCCTTCATGAACAAGTGACTCTTCCTAAAGCAGATTTTAATAAAACAATAAAATATCTTTAAAAAAAATCTTTCACAACATTGAAATCTAGTGTTTGTGAAGCAGCATCATTGAGGTCATCTGTCCTGATGGGTGTAGTCATCCACAGTGGGGAGTTAAACTCAGCACCATAGTAAAGGCAGCAGCTGGACCTTATCATAGTCTGTCATCTGACGTCATCACATCTCTTCATCAGAGGCTGAAGATGACGACCTGTCAGTCGGGTGAACTCCGTCAGGATGTAGCTTTCCCTCTGCAACATCTGAAAAAACCGTACGAGTCGTGGATATTATTAGAACACCGGGGATTTATGGGAGCTCACAGTGCACTTCACTGACATCTAGCGGTGGGTATTGGCAAGAATCTGGCGTCACAATACAGGGGCACCAATACGAGATATTGCAATATACTGCGCATATTAATATTGAATATTAGACTTAATTTTTAATACAAAAAATTGCAGAGCTGTAGAATATATTAATATTAATATTGGACTTAATTTTTAATACAAACAATTGCAGAGCTGTAGAATATACGATATCACGAAACAAAATATTGTATCAATATTTTCTCACAGCCCTAATAGTCATACTAATAATAATGACAATACTAACAATACATTTTACTAGGTCAGTGCAGTACCTGAATCTATTGCAATACTATAGGCATGACAATATATGGAATTATGAATGTTTGACCGTTAATTGGTAGTAAAAAAACTCCATACAGTGGATGTATTTATACATATGTGGTGTATAATTAGTTAATAAATCATACACGCTGCAGCTTTAGCTAAAGCACCACATGACAAACCTCGGTCCATTCCTCCTCGGTCTCGTGTCTGTAGCCCAGTAGGTGGCATATTCCATGTGCAGTGACCACCTGAGACATGAGCCAAAAACAGCGACATCAGAATTGTCAACAACCGCACATGTACAGACACAGAATAGTTCTCCGTCTACGTACAGTCAGAGTATCGTGCAGATCCACAGATTCATCCACACACTGATTCATGATAAACTCAACCCCCAAGAAAATGTCCCCGAGGTTCAGTTCGTCCCTATGAAGGACACAGGGCAGCTTCCCAGGTCTCAAATCCTAGATCACACAATCATTGGACGTTAGTAGTTAGTAAATTAATTCAAACAAACTGAGGAGAAAAAACGTGATGGGAATTTACCTCATAGAAAGGGAAGGAAAGGACGTCTGTCGGCACATTTTTCTTTCTGTAGATATTGTTAATTTGTTTGATCCTGTGGTTGTCTACACACACGATGCTCAGGTCAAATTTGTGAATACCCAGGATGTGTCTCAGTCTGTCGACGTCACTGCGAAGTCTGGCGCGGCGAAGGGGCACCACCCTCTGGAGATTTCGAAGTACTACTCCCATAGTGAACCAGGCAAACAAACATAAATAAAAAAGGCGAAGGTTCCTCCGAACTGATCGTCTTCAAGTAAATAGCAGCCACACTTCTCCTTCAGCAGTCGGTTTATCACAGTTGAGGGTCCGCTTAGCGTTAATTTCGACCAATACAGGCAGAATTCAAGGTGACGACCCGCACAGCGCCAACGTAAATGCTACCAAATATAACGTTTGATCCCTTTGTTGGTTATCCAGCTTCGGTGACGACGATTACAGACGTTCGGCATTTTAAACTCACTCGAGAAAGTTGTCACTCAATTCATTTAAAACCAGCTAGAAGTTCACAACGGTTGACCATCCTGACATCGGTCCAGAGTTCAGCGTTGCGAGGGGGGACCAGAAAACTGTCGGACCACCGGAAGTGCTTTAATGTGTCCGCGTAAGAACTCGTGAAAACAAGTACAACAAATTAAGAGGTGAGGGTCTTTTGGTTCGCAATATGGTGCAATTAATTTAACGGTTGAACTTTTTTTTTAACCTTTTACGTCGTTCAGTTGAACCGGTGGTTAAGGTAAAATTTTACTGATACGTATTTGTAAGGGCAGCCGTTTTGAGGTAGGTTGTTGTTGGACTATTGTGGTGGTGTTGTGACCATCTGATAATACTTTAGGTCATTTTTGTGCGTTATCCTTTTAAACCGTTAAATCCGGAAACACGGAGCAAAAATAAGAAGGACCATCGGAAGTTGTTTACTCAGTTCGAACAAACGCGTTAAGAACCGAGTGAAAACGAGCTCAAAGGTAAACCTGAAATTTAACCAATTATGAAACTTGTGTTTAAATGATCTTTTTTGTCATTGTACTAAGAAATCGACGTAAGTTGAAGATATTTCCGCGGAGTTGTACAGTCATCACCGTCACTTTAGTTCTCGCGTTCGACTGTTAATTAAAGCTATTACTACACTGCATGGAATTTTGAATTTGTGTTTCAGTACAACGTCAGAGCAGTTGAACTCAATTGTCGAGGTTTCATTCATAAGTAAAGAACCATCAGTTAATGTAATAGAATTTAAGAACAGGTCATTCAGACTCCGATGCTAACAGAATAAAATTTATTTTGAAAATGTAATGATCTTTCAGCGATAACACCGTGTGTGTTACCGGTCCAGATTAACGGCTGATACCAACCGACAGGTCCTCTGTACAAAAACGGTTGGGGACCGCTGCTTTAAAGAACATTATACTTAAGATAATTTCCTCTGTGTGGTGACATTAAGCTGTATTTCACTTATTTTCTTACGTAGGCTACACACTGGACCTTGCACTTGGGAGATTGTAGACGTGTTTCTTCCTTCAATGTCGTCAACAGGGACAACTTTATAATCAAGGAGTGACATCATTTGCAGACATGAATCCGTCCAACCCCTTCGGGAGGCCACAAGGTGGAGCATTTCAGGCCCCAAACAACCCCATGAAGACTGGCTTGTTCCAGTCAATCGGACAGCAAAGTGCCAACAGTCAACCACAAACAATGGAAGTATTTCAGTCCTCTGCGTTTGGCCAGCCGTCAGGGTTGACTCCGCCCTCTTCACATGGGAATACCATGTTCGGGCAGAACCCTGGATTTTTGCAGCAACCTCCAGTGTTCGGACAGCCGTCAATGGGAAAGGCCGCAGCATTTGGTAGTAGCACAGCACCAGCCTTTGGTCAGACTGTGGGGCAGAACCAGAGTACAGTGTTTGGGCAGTCTGCTGCCTTTGAACAAGCACCAGTGTTTGGCCAGAAGACCCCAGAGTTTGGAGGGTTTGGACAGTCCCAGTTGCCCCCTACCTCCACCCCTGCCGTAAGACCGCCTCAGTCACATGGTTTTGGGCAGCCTATGTTTGGACAGCCATCAACTACTGCTGTGACCAGTATGTTCGGCGGTAACACAGTGACCCAGAGTAAATCTTTTGCCACATCCACGTTCAGTTTCAAACCAGCGAGTGAAGCCCTTTTTAAACCCATCTTCAGTGCCAGCCCAGAACCTAATAACCCTCAGACAACATCTACGTCCAGCTCACCTTTTGGCAGCGGTGTAACTCAGATGAGCTCTTCCTGTCCAACAAGCAGTGGTTTTGGGATGCCAGGGTTTAGGTTCTCAATTCCGGTTGCAGCGCCCTCTAGCTCTACAGCAAACAACCCATTACCAGCTGGTAATAACGGTGGTTCGACCAATCCTGTACAGTTCACCTTTTCCCAGCCAGCTCCTCCGTCCAGCTCCAGCACCACCAACACAACCGCTACGCAGCCCACCACTCCATCCTCCTTTAGCTTTTCACTCAAGGCCCCACAGGCCCAGACGCTGTCACTCACTGAAGGATCCGGTTTAGTTCAGCGGCCTGCTTTTGGAGACAAAGGACAGGCAGACGCTAACACGGACGAGAAAAGGAGTCATTTTGAAGCCCTGGAGGAAACAAACGTGTTTGCCAGACTGGGTAAGGGCGTGAAGCGGAAGGAGGAGCCGTTTGTTTTCAGCAGCAGCCAAGAGAAGCCTGTGTCAGAGGATGTTCCAGTAGAGGCAGAGTCATCAAGACACCCTCCAAAGAGACCCTTAATGAGGTCCCACCATCCACCAGGGGGCATATTTGGAAGAGCAGTCAGTGGTCTTCGTAAAGATAGCACTCATCTTGGAAAGCGAGAGGTCGCAAAGGAGACCCAGCATCAGGCGCCCAAATGGGAGGAGGCAAAGGGGGAAGATGCTCAAAGTCAAGATGACAACACAACAGCTCCACTGGCCACAGCTTTTGTCACTAAAGAAACACTGGACAAAGACACAGAGTCAGGTGAGATGTAAAAACAATTGTTATCCCAAAAAGTCACTGAACATGTCAAAAACATGTGACAATATTGGCACTTACTTTTCCTTTTTTTTCTTGTTTTTTATTTTCTACATTCAGTGAATGAGGTGGACCCGGAGCTTGGGGCCGTAACTCCCGTGAAACACGAGAGACGCGAGAGTTCAGAGAGCCTCAGCAACGCGTCCTTCACAGACTGCACTGTCCTCCAGTGTAGGAAAATTCCTCAGAGCCTCAACAAAAAGAACATTATCGAGAAGCACTTTTCTCGTTACGGCAGAGTCTCGAAAGTGATCTGCCGACCTGCCAAGAACCTGGCTTTTGTTCACTTCAACGACCATGTGAGTTCTTTAGACCGTTTCCTGTCTCTTCCTGTCTTTTCCCTGTTTATTTTGGTAAAGAGTTAATATCAGACATCCCATTTTCTCTTTTTGTCCAGGCGTCTGCTGCAAAGGCCAAGAAAAAAGGCAAAATCCTGCATCAACATGAAATCTTCCTGCTGTGGCAGAGAAAGAAACAGAGTAAATTAACACAAAAAAAGCTTCCCTAAGAACGAATTTCAAAAACGGCCGCTGTTTTTCTACATTTACATTACTGTTGTTACCGCGGTTTAGGTCCAGAGGAGAAAACCAGCAGATTTGCAGCAGCAGCAGCAGAAGAAGAACCAGCTGGAGACGGTCCAGAGGACACGGAGTCTGGGGCTGCATCCCTCAGACGGAGTTTATTCAGGGCTCCAGGGGGCAGCAGCACTACGGCCGTTAGCCACAGGTAAACACACAACCTTGCGGTTGATGGTGTATCAGCTCTAGTCCTGCGTCACGTGACTCTTTCCTGTGTGTCAGCTCCCCAGTGAAGAGAATGGCATCAGCAAAGTCTCTGCAGTATACCACTGAACCCCAGAGGGAGACTGGCACTGACCCCCAGACCTCAGAGCGCCCGGTCCCCTCCTCCCTGGCTCACCTGATTGGACAAGTGGCAGAGACAGCAGAGGACAAGTACCGCCTGCTGGAACAGAGAGACAAGGTCCTCCGTCAAGGTAGAGACACTTTCTTTTTTATTATCTCGGTTTGACATTTTTAGTCCAACAGCGGTGACTAAAAACACCTCTCCACAGGTCGGCCCAAACGCACAGACCTGAATCTGTCCAAAGTGTTTGTCGGAACCTGTCCTGACATGTGTCCGGAGAAGGAGAGGTACATGAGAGAGACACGGAACCAGCTGAGCGTCTTTGAGGTCGTCCCAGACACAGAAATGGTGATTAGAATAATATCAAGAAATCTGCAAGAAAATCACAAGACATGATAAGTTGATGACACACTCCCCTCTGTCCACTCCCCGTCTCGTTCACCCATCACCAGGTGGATCATACTGCAGCCATCAAGGAATACAGTCGCTCGTCAGCCGACCAGGAGGAGCCCCTGCCCCACGATTTGCGCCCCCTCTCTGTCCTCAGCATGACCATGGACTACCTGGTGACACAGATCATGAACCAGGACCACGAAAACCAACGCGACTGGTACGACTTTGTGTGGAACAGGACCCGTGGTATTCGTAAGGTGAAGCAGTTTTTTTCTTCAATTACACATCGTTACTTTTTGCTCCAAACATCTAAACCCGTCGTTACTTTTTGCTCCAAACATCTATGTACACGTCGTTACTTTTTGCTCCAAACATCTAAAACATCTAAACCATCTTTTTCTTCCACCAACAGGACATCACCCAGCAGCGCCTGTGCTGCCCCCACACCGTGTCGCTCATAGAGAAGTGCACGCGCTTCCACGTGCACTGTGCACACCACCTGTGCGAGGAGCAGCTGTCGTCGTTTGACGCCAAGATCAACAACGAGAACATGACCAAGTGCCTGCAGAGTCTGAAAGAAATGTACCAGGACTTGGCTACACATCAAATCTACTGCCCCAAAGAGGCCGAGTTCCGCCAGTACAGTGTGCTGCTGAGGCTCAACGACGGTGACATTCTGCGGTCAGTCCTTAAATCGGATCAGAAACGAGTCCGTTGTTATGCCGACAATGTAACATGCCTAATTTTCCATCCCACTAAAAATGTTTGTTCTTCTTCTCCTCTTCACAGTGAAGTTCAGCAGTTCCGTGACGAGGTCAGAAACTCGGCGGAGGTGAAGTTTGCAGTTCAGGCCTTCGCGTCGGTCAACAGCAACAACTTTGTTCGCTTCTTCAAGCTGGTGAAAGGAGCCTCGTACTTGGCCAGCTGCCTGCTGCACCGATACTTCAATCAGGTAAATACCTGAGTTATTCCTTTAATGGATCCAGAGGAGAAACCTCACGACGGTGTTGAGTGTCACCATCAGTATTTGAAAGCCTGAAAATACTCACATTTCTCACTGAATCTTCTGCTTTTCTGTGACCGTACAGGTCAGAACCAAGGCCCTGAAGTGTCTCAACATCGCCCACACCGTGGGAACGCGGTCGACGGCGTTTCCTCTCGAGGACATCACTCGGATGTTCATGTTCCGCAGCTCGGCTGAAACCACAGAATTCATCCATCAGTACGGCCTTAACGTCAGCGACGGGTGAGTGTTGTCAGTGTCACAGACTGCCATCGGAGGCGCCAGAGAGATAATGTCGTGTCTGTTTACATTACATTAAAGACGTTTGTTTTTTTAACAGTATGGTGGAGTTGAATCGCACGAACTACCAGGAACCTGAACTGCTGTCACAGAAGAAGTCCGACGTCATCCTTTCCAAGAAAACTGTGTTGACCGGGGAGGTGGTGAACGGAGGCCCCCTCCCCAACCCTCCGCAGCACGTCCCCGTCTGCAGCTTTGACTCCAAGAACAAGTACTGTGGAGAGGTCCCTCATGTTGAGCCCACTACCAGTGAGTCTCTTCTCAGTGTTAACAGTATGTGACAGAAGATGTTTGATTTTTCTAACTGATTAAAAAAAAAAGAGTTTTTTGATTTTTCCAACTAATTAAAAAAGTCACTTTCATGTTTTTTTTTATTAGGGATGTCCGATAAAAATAGGATCATTATCTGATGACATCCTTCTTTGTCACTAATATAACTTATTTACTCAGCTGTGACCGCCAAAGTGGAAGTGAACATGCCCACCAGGGTGGAGCCATTGTCCAAAGGTGGTGCCAGTCTGGGCTCCATGGAGGAGCCGAGTCCACCTCCAGCTGAAGATCTTCACCGCCCGTCGTTCACACCTGACTCTCAGCCAGCCTTCCAGCTGATGCATCAACCTGTCAAACTGCCCTCACCTCCTCCTCCCGCACCCCCACCTCCTGTCTACAGTGATGAGGTACCGTTCTAACACTTATATACCGTCTGTCAATTTATGGGCGATGAATGTGTTTGATGACAGAGCAGGATGGAGTGAGTGAACAGCACTGATGTTGTTTTTTTCAACAGGAAATAAAGTCTGAACTGGACTCTGTCATCGAGGAGGTGGTCAGAACAGCGCTGATGGAGATAGCAGACGTTGGAGTCACCTACGTCAAAACAGCTCTCGAGTAAGTTTTGTAGATTTTTTTTTTTTTTACTTCCAACATGATCAAAGTCCACTTGTCCATGTTAGAATCTTTTTTTGTTTTTTCATCCGTTAATGAAAACCCCATAATGCAATGCCTGGATTTCAACAAATGATGTGAAAAATAAAAATAGTTTAAGGGAAAAACACCTGTAAATGAAAGTGAACGCCACTAGATGGCAGCACTGCATCTCATTTTATTAATCTATTTTTCATAATGAGGGGATTGTAGGCAGAATGCTGGTACCTGTTTTCATAATCAGGGGATTGTAGGCAGAATGCTGGTACCAGCAACTCATACTTCAGTATCAGTTGATATCAGAATAGTAAATTAAGTGTTTGGACAATATCAGACATCCCTACTAACTCTACACTCTGTTCCTTCTCACTCCACCGTGGTCATACAGGGAGAGCAGTGTGCAGGTGGAGTCCCTGGTGACGGAGGTGCTGGGTCAGATGCTGCAGGAGGTTTCCTCGGAAGAGTTCAAGGCCGAAGAGCGCATAGCCTTGGAAAAATACAGGCTGGAACAAGCCAGGTCGGTCCGCAGACGGTCCACCCCATCGTCAGCTGTTTTTAACTGTGGGACATTTAAAAACATACTTTTTTTTTTTGGTCTCTTTTGTCAGGATACAGCAGGAGCACAAGACTCTGCTGTCTGAGCTCAGCGTCTCTCTCTGCGCGGAGATCCTCAACGAGGTCACGGACGACTTTGTCAACCAAACGTCCACTGCTGAGATTCAGTACGTTGGTTTCTTTCTAAATCCTCAGGACCAATGTTGCTCTTGTGGTATCATTTAAAACTTCTTCATAAGTTGAAGATGAGGAGATCTCATTGGTTTAAACCTGTATTCCCGTCTTCACCTCCTATAGACACGCAGTGAATGAGAAGGCGGAGCGCGTGGCCAAATGCACGGAGCAGGTCTGCAGCCGGCTGGTCGAGGACACGCTGAACGCAGATATTACTCTGATAGTCGAAGAAACTCTCGATGCAGAACTTCAGAGAATCCAGAAGTACATCAAAAGGTGAGGACGTCAAATACTGAACAACAGGGGTGTAAGAAAATATCAATACACCAACATACTGCAATATTCAGGATACTGTATCAATATTCTCCATCAGTTATTGAATTGTTTTTATCACCAATTCCCAGTCCAATATTCCTGGTGTTGGTTCATTTGATTTTTCTTTTATTTCTTCTCCAGTGATTCCAAATGTAGATCCCTCTGTTCCGATTTTAGTAACTCAAAATAACTCAATATATCGTTGTGCCTACAGCATCACATTGTTGTGATCCCTGTCTTGCCAGTACACACTCCAGCTCCTCCAGCATATTAACCGGTAAATAACCCTGCCTCCTTGCATATTAACCGGTAAATAACCCTGCCTACAGGTGGCGTGATGTCGTCGCAGTCCGCCGTCACCTGAAGAGACAGATGAGAGGTTTCCCTGCAGCTCCGTGTGGTGTGGACCCACGGTTTAAACTCAAAGCTTTCTCTCCCAGCGCGCAGCCTTCAGTAGCGGAGCTGAGCCGTGGTGTGGTCAACCTGGGGAACGCAGGCACCTTGGGCCTCTCGACCATCAGGTCCGTCCTTCTATTTCCTATTATTAGCGTCAGTTACAGCATAAAAACTGTATCATGACTGTTTGCAATGTCAACTATAGCAGAATTGTAAATTTCTGTCTACTTAAATTTGATCCGTCCAGGTCGTTGAACATGAAAGAAGAAGTCATGCAGCAGTTGAGAGTCCACTACTTCAACCAGCTGCTGCTGGAGTGAGTTTGTTCATTTACATTTATACATTTAGCAGACGCTGTTATTCAGGAGGAGGATTAACAATCAAGCCCCCCCCCAACTCCTGACCCCAGCTTACTTTGGTGATGGTGATCATAATGACTATAATTCACTTGTGTGTTGCATGTAGTGAGATGGTGTGGACGCCGCTCCACCTGCCTACACTGGTCACACGGAGCATCCCTGACCCGCCTGACAGAATCTTCTGGAAGCTCACTCTCCTCCTACCCAGCAACCAGGAGAACACGACCAGCCCTGCAGACAAGTAAGAAGCCGCGCAGGTCAGCCGTGACCGTGTTTGTCAAATGTCCAAGGGTTTAACCCCACCCCCCCATTCTGTCTTTGGTGTCAGGATCCTATCAGAGTGGCTGGAGGTGAAACTGGGAGGTGAGGGGTCAGAGGTCAGGAAGGAGCAGTCAGACGGGATGTTGAAGACCCTGTTCACCATGAACACACAGCAGGAGAGAGGACCGCACACCCACGGAGTCCACATCAGTGTCAAGGTTTGGTCCTCAACCACTGGTCCGTGGACCAATACTTGGCTGCAGAATTGTGTGGGCAATACACTTTTTTTTTGTTCTACTTCCTGTAGTCGTGTCGAGGTCCGCTGAGCGAAGGCGGTCTCTCGGACGCCGAGAAGAACTCGGAGCTCAACGGGACCGGAGCTCTGATGATGCTGCTTCCTGTGATGTCGATCGTTGACCGCGAGGACGACGTGTTCCTGCTGTCGGCTCTGCTTCAGCTCAGACAGCTGCAGCAGGCCAGCACCTGGCACTGCCCGCTGCCGCTGGTCATCCTGGTGCCCGGTTCTGTCGATGGTGCCGAAGACCAACGGAAACTGGAGGAAGGTATTCAAACCTACACACAGTTTACGGTGATTCTGGACGCGGGTTTTTGTTCTTTCTTCTCACTGTCTGGTTCCTCAGCTCTGATGCTTCAAGCGCTGGTCCAGGAGGACCTGATCCTGGAGTACAAGTTCTTCTTCATACCAGAGACCACGGGTGACATGCAAGGATCTAAACAGGTACACAGATACACACCAGTCGAGCAGAGGGAATCATGGAAAACTGTTATTATATTATAAACTGGTTCTAGTTATGGAAAATCACATTTGTTGATATTTAGGAATACTGCGCAGTACTGTGTTTTCAGCAGTATCAAAGTTAAAGTCTGCTTTTCTGTCAATAGTTATTGTTAAAATTCTGTTTCTCTCTCAACTTTAGAGTACTGCGCAGTACTGTGTTTTCTGTCAATAGTTAGTTTTAAAATTCTGTTTCTCTCTCAACTTTATTAAGTGTTACATGAACTGCAGTATTTGGTGGTATTTGTAATTTAAAAAGACATTTTGCAGCAGGTACACACCCACCTACAAAGTACTGCCCAATGCAGTAACAAGCAGTAGTTTTGTTTTGTTTTTTTTTACCCCTAACCTCACCACTTCTTCTTCCTCTTCACTCTCGTACGTCCACAGCTCATCTGTGCTCTGGACTGGCTCCTGGCCCGCGCCCCGCCGACGCTCCCACTCTCCTGCCAGTCACTGGTGGACCTGGTGGAGGCGACTGTGAGTCAGGAGTTCACTGCCAGGGTTCACAACCACTGCCGGGAGTTTGCCCCCTCAGGTCTTCACTTCCAGGACCCCACTGCCATCATCCTGCTGTATAACGCCGTCCTGGCTCACGTTGCCGACGCGGTGTCATCCGAGGATCTCCTCAAACTGTCATGGCCGCCGGGCGAGCTGTGCCTCCCCGAGAACCGACAGGTTATTCCTCCTCTGGGCTTTAACTCCCCTCAGCACCTCACCTGGCTCCGTGAGGCCGTCCTCAGCCTGCAGCTGCCCCAGTTGGGGCAACTCTCTGCTGCTGGTCAGTAACAAGGTTTTTAATAGTGATGTCTGATATTAACTTTTTGCCGATATATAACAAAAAGAGCTGCAATGCTGCCATCTAGTGACTTTCATTTTCATGTACTAATTATATGAAAATAATTATGCTCATATCGGTCTGATAATATCAGCCAACCGATATTATTGTTGTTGTTGTTTTTTAATAACGAATATTTTTTCTCGTCACTGCCTCTGGTCCAGACACCTGGTCCGAGCTCTGCTTGTCCGTCTACAGCTTCGCTGCTCAGATCCCAGTCTCCAGCCACAGTCAGCCGTTACTGATGTCGCGACTAGAAAACCTCTTGGAAAATGCCAGACTGAAGCAGCAGTTCACCAAGACCCACAGATCTGGAAGAAGCTGGATTGGTGCGGAGGAAGAGATGGAGTGTCCGTCTGACAGCCTGGTGCCCTGGGAAGACGTGCTGATCATCTGTATTGATCACAAACTGAAGGACTGGCAGATACCAAGACCAGCCGTCTGTAGAGGTGAGGTCTCTACACCAGTACTGACACATGGTTTTACTACTCTATTACTATTCTACATGCAGTACACTGACTCTCTTCTTTTCTTTTTTTACCTGTGGACTATGCTATGACAGAGGACGGGGAGATCCTGGTTTACTTTTCTGCAGAGTCACTGAAAGGTTTCCAGCCACCAGAGGAGTGGAGGCTGGCGGTCCGACAGAAACACAGAGAGAGAGAGCAGAAACAGGAGGAAGAGAAGAGAAGGTATTTACATTTACATTTGTCCAGTAGAATATTAATACGGTATCGTGAAACAAAATATCTCAATATTTCAGTATATCTATATTTTCTTACAGCCCTAGTCTAGAGACAGCTCTATCTGTCTTGTCAGTGTACAAAGTAATAGTATTGATTGTACAGATCCCTCAATCTTTTCCCCTGTTGTTTTAACTTTTCTTTCTTCCTTTGTCTCTTGTCCTTTGTCTTCTGGTACCAGGACGGGTCCAGCTGCCCGTTACGGTCACACCAACACCAGTCTGTCCCTGAGACAGAAATTATTCCACAGTTTTGCGGAGCCTCCGGAGCCCAGGAACGCCCCAGTCGACATCACACACACCCTGGCACCGCCAGAGCTGCTGGCTCACAAACTCATGTGGAGTGTGGAGGCTGAGAAGGCTGAAAGCAGACGGTAAAACTGAAGAACAAGTCATTTCAAAGGACGAGATAATAAAAAACATATTATCCATGTCACATGTTTTGAACACATGACCTCTGTACAGGAGCATGGAGCAGCTTCAGCGGTGGGTGGACGGTGACGCCTTGGATCCATTGTCCACACCACTCTTCGTCCCCTCGTCCATCCTGCTGTCCATGCCCAAAACCATCAATCAACCCCGAACACGCAAATCAAGAGAAATCAGTATAACACAGGTATGACTCTTTATCCAATCCCTAAGTGAGCGTCTCTGTCCCCCTTCTCCCCGTCCCCCACCAAACTAGTAATTGTAATTGCATATCTCATTGTGTCCACATCTCAGGAGTCTGATGACCTGCTGGAACAATCGGTGTGTCCCAAAAACACCCCAAAGACTCTGTCCCTGAAATGGCAAATGAAGGAACTGGAGCGGCAGATTTTAGCAAGCCAAGAGGAAGAGCTAGCCTGTGGACTGGAGCTGAGCAGTCTGTTCAACATCGTTAATGATTGACAGCTGTCTTTTTTTAAAATTATTTTCAGTTTGATTTGATCTCTTGGTCTCTTAGATCTCGTAGTTTTAATGATTTATATTTGTATTAATAATGTTAATATTTTTTATACTGTATGTGTGGGATTCTGATTTTATTTCAGTTTGACGTGTTAAGTAAATAAATATGTAAAGAAAAGGTTTTTTTTATCTTATTGACACAATAACAACATTAAGCCTGAGACTCTAAACTGTGTTGTTTTGATTAAAATTATCGAAATAAAGTCGGAAAAAGTTTTTTTTTTTTTACTAACTGAACTAATAAGTTGCCATGGAGACACTTGGACCCGGCATAGTTCGTCGTCGCAGCGTTAGCTGCTCTGATTGGCGGACCTCACTAGGGCCCCGCCCATTGCACCGCCTAGTCATGCTGTGATTGGACAGCCGGGTCTCTGCTCATGTCGCTCCACTAGAAAACGTTCCTCGGATGTCGCCGCTGAGCCTGCTGGGAAGTGCAGTGTGGATGACTTAGTCAGTGGTTACCTGCGTGTTCAACAGCACTACAGTTCCCAGCCGAAGAAGAAAGAGGCAGAAAACATACTTTTCGACTCTGTCACAGAAAAACTTACGTTTAGTTTGAGAGACGGCACCAGAACCATGACTGAGGGAACGTGAGTAGAACTTTGCTTCTCTAACGTAATATAATTCTGTCTCGCGATAAATACAAAACCCGAGAAATGACAAGAGAAGAGATTTAATATAAATATATTAAGTAATTCCGTAAGTTATTAGGAAATTGTGTAGATAATTAATTAGCATTTGTTCTAAAGATTCATTGAATAACAGTGTCATAAAAACGTTTTTTTTTTTACGTTTTACAACGGCAATACTTGAAACATCAATTATAAAACCTTATTATTGCAAATTTAGTCACAAATTGATCTATTCTTAAATATCCTTTGAGGCCAAAAGGTACAAAAACATACAAAAAGATTGTTTGTCTGGAGATATAGTTTTAATTTCATAAGTTTAACGTGTGAATACACTTTAAAGTAACTCTGAATGACAACAATCACTGGTACTGATAATTACAAAGTACAGAAGTGGAATATCTGTGTGTTCTGCCAGGCACTTGCGGAGGCGCGGGGGACCTTACAGGACGGAACCGGTCACGGACCTGAGCCGCTGGAGGTTGACCAATGTTGAGGGCAGACAGACCTGGTCCTACATCAAAGATGAGGAAACTGTGGAGAGAGAGCAGACCATGCTGGAGGCCCACTCCCTGGGCCTGGACACAGTGGGTTTTTTACCTTCCTGTTATCCACAAACACACACTCTTGTACTCACATACACATGCACAATAATAATAATAATAAAAATTAAATTACATACATTTATTTGATATAAAAACCATATAATTGACTTTGTATTTTGGGACTATAGTTGTCCATTCCTGTTACCAGTTTTCTCCTTCTCTCCTCAGAGTCAGTTTGTGTCGCCCTCTGCTGCTGCCCTCACAGCTGTGGACGCTGCACTCAAGGGCATGAACTTCTACAGTCACCTCCAGGCCGAGGACGGTCACTGGGCAGGAGACTACGGCGGGGGG